CCTCCGTCGCGAGGCCCACTCCTTCGTTGAAGGAATCACCCGAGGCACCACAAAGGGCTTATGACCGAAGAGAGGGGGAGGTGACGATGAAACGGTTGTACGACGGAACAACATCAAAAAAACGACTCTCCTTCACGCCTTACAAACAATCGATGGTCACACAAAGATGTGTCGTGAAGAATGAGAAACGTAGGGAGAGAAGGATAGCTCAGCCGCGAGAGAAGTATCTATACTAATATAAAAATGTTGTTGGAAAAATACATAAATAGTAACTTTGACTTTTTTATTAAATGTTTGACTTACTATTATAAAAAATATTTTTAAAAACATATTAGATTAGCAAAAAAAAGGAGCAAANCTTTTTCTTAACCACTTTTCCAATCATTCGGTGAATAAATTTTAAATTTCAAATTAATTTTCTTGGTAAAATTATCGGTGCATCTTTTCTAATGATTTGTTGAACGATCTCATTTTCCACACAATTTTTACAAAATTCGATTCTCAATATACTTTCAAAATAATATACTTATCTATTATATAGAAAACTCGATTTTAAAAATGAGATTAGATTTTTGGTGAATATTTCCGATAAGATTTATTTGTAAAAACGCGTGAATATACCATGATAATCTGTACTTTTGGTAACATCCTATTCGTGTTTTCGTCCAAAAATTATTTAACGAAATTTGCAATTTATGAGCAAATATTTTGTTTTGAAACATCCATAACATATTTTTAATGACATTCAATTTAGAAAAATAGAATATTTAATTTTGAGTAATAATAGTAATTTCAATTCAAATAACGCATCAATACAGTCTAAACTGGCAATGTACAATAATATTAAAAATAATTTGATATGGAAACGCATCAATACAATCAACATATAGAAAATTTGATCTTTATTTTACATGGCAATATATCATTCCAATATACACCCTAACTTAATGCGAATATGAAAAAATATTATCAAATATACTTATCTATTATTTAATGAAAATTTTTAATTTATAAATATTAACAAATATTTCTTACCCGTGCATCCCACGAGATTCTTATTAGTGGCAAGAATGAGAGGAGAGATTTTTAGGGTTAGCCGAACGATAGGATTTAATTCCTAAAACCCAGCGGTCCAGAAATAATTTGTCAAAACAGTGTCGTTTTAATTGTCAGTGACGTGGCCTCCTACCAATGAAGAGCCACGTGTCAAAAACAGAAGGCATTTACTTCCTTTTTATATGATTTTGTACATTAGAATTAGAATTATAGATTTTTTTTTTCAAAGCGATAGAAACTTCATTCAACTCAAGAGAATAATGTTCAAACCGTGAGGTTAAAGAACCCCAATACAATCCAAGAGAACCACTCATAGAGAAGTGACCTAGAACCAGAATGAAACAACACAAACCAACAACATAAGACATCTAAGGCAAGAAAGACTCGTTCCCCTTAGACACAACCAACTAAGATATGAAAACAATAACAACTAGACAGACTCAAGACTAAACATATTTAGGACCACTGAACCCCAAAGGGGACCTGGAGCCATTTATGGACAATCAAGAAATCTTCTTATGAGCAGCTGAGGTGAATTCCATCCAGTCTGATAGGGTTGCTTTTACCACCTCAGTTTTAGGTAGCAGGGAGCTTTGGAACTTCCAGATATTTCTGGACTTCTAGAGCCACCATAAGAGATATGTACTCAACTGTATCCTGTCTTCAGAAATCTCTTTTTTGATCACTTCACAAATTCTTCTCCACCAACACTTGAAGTCATTCTCCTCAGCTGCAGGTCCATCCCATGATAAGGGGGCCGGGCCAGCTTCTAGACAAGTTTAGCTATGCTGCATGAGAAAAATACATGTTCCACTGATTCAGGTATCTCTCCACAAGATTGACAGATGATATCAATATTTAACTATTTTCCTTTTAGATTAGTGCACATAGGAAGGACAGTGTTAAGACACTTCCAAATGAAGTGCCTAAGCTTCTTCTTGATGTTGAGACTCCAGCTTCTTCTTCTAGCCTTTCTATCTATATTAGACAATGAGCTCCATTCTACAAAATCAAGCTCCCTTAGCTTTTGATGAACTAAGTGAGAGTAGGTGCTAGCTACTGTGAAATTGTCTCTCTTGTTGAAACTCTACTTCCACTTGTCACTATGTTCAGGGTTGAGGGTTGAAATACCTCTGATGGCCTTGACATCTTCAGGGATAAACAGCTTCTGCAGCAGTTTAGTATTCCAAGCCCTTCCATCCTCTTCAATGAGCTTAGCCACCCAAGTCAAATTAAAATCCACACCTACTTTCAGTTGGGGAATTCAAGTTAGAGAGTAAGGTACCCAGGGGTCAGTCCATACCCTTGTAGAGGCACCATTTTTTATTTCCCTCATGTAACCTGACTTGTGTTTTCTAGCACCTTCCTCCAAGTTTGCCACGGCCATGAAGAGCTAGAATGTCTAGACTGAGCTACTTGCAAGAGGGATCCTTGAGCAAATTATCTCCCCTTGAGAATTTTACTTACAAGCAGGTTGGGGTTTGTGGCAATTCTCTAAAGTTGTTTGAGAATAAGAGATTCATTAAAATGGAGGATATCTTGGAATCTCAGGCCTCCTTATTGTTTGGGAATAGTTACTGATTTCCAAGACTTCCAGTGCAATCCAGCTCTCTGGTCATCTCCCTTGCTCCACCAGAATCCAACACTAAGTTTGGTTATCTCCTGACAGATGCCCTTAGGAAGCAGGAAGCAGGACATGGTGAAAATAGGAAGTGAATTAACGACAACTTTGAGGAGCACTTCCTTGCCAGCATCAGATAGGAACCTGTTCTTCCAACTTACTAGTCTTGATCTCACAGCTTCCACAACAAAACTAAAACACTCCTTTCTTGACTGACCAGTACCAACATATTTAGAGTTATAGATAATTGATATATTGGTTGATGTTGAGCAAATTTTTCTTACTAATTTAACAAATACTGCCTCCATTTCTTTTTAAATGTTATTTTATTTTATCAGTCATTAACCAAATAAATGACGTTTTGGATCTTTTGTACATATTTTTCCATTATTTATCTCATTTAGCTAATAAATATACTACGTATTTTCATATTCATTCTTCACCTTTCTTCAAAACATCCATCTCTATTTTCATTAATGAAGGTTATTATTGGAAAAAAAAAATTAATTATTATGCAACTTCTCAAAACGACACTTATGAAAATTAGGTAGTACCATTTAGAGCATCTCCAATGGTCTTTCTATTTCTCTATTTTGTTGCCACATGGCACAAATAATCTTATGTGGCTTGAAAAAATTCTAGAAGGCTTCCTAGATGTAGAAGCTTTTCTAAACAACATCTATTGTATATTAGAGTATTTATTTAATTTATTTATCTTCTTCAACTAATTAAAATTTTACACATCACAAATAATACAACAATTAACATTAACCATTTGAGATATAATTTTTTAGTTTTCATTTTTCATGCCATACAACGCAAAATGCACAATTTTCCATTGGAGATGCTCTAATTTGAAGGGAAGATGTCAGTGAGCCCACTAATTTCTTTAAATATATTTATTTAAAAAAAAAAAATGCCGCGATAATGGCGCGAATGATATACTACATATACAAAATCATTTATTGTTTAGATATTCAAGCAGAGATGTTTGGTTTCCTTTGTATCCGTCCTTTGAAACATTCCGCAACCCACGCAACGCCACGCCCGCCCCTATCAACCTATGCCTCACAAACAAAACCCAATTCTTCACAAACTTTCTCTTCTTTTCCTTCTCCAACCAGAGACGCACTGCAGAGGAAAGTACATACCCGGAATTTCTTTCGTGGGCAGGTAATTTTTAATTCAATTCCGGTTCGCAGTTTGGGTTTTTGGCAGTTTTATTTTTTCTCTGGGCCTGAAGGGAATTAGGAATGCGGATGGATGGATCATGTTTTCTTCTTAAAAATTTGTATTTATGATTTTTGGGTAACTCATTTTTTTTCTTTTTCTTTTTGTCATGTTCATTTTATTTGCTAAATGGTGCTTGGTTTGATTAGATTACTCATTGT